GTTCAGGTATTTGTCTAATATCTGATCGACATGGTGGTATTTTAAGTTCTGTACGTCACTTGCTTGAATGGCATGAACCATATGCATACCACCGTTACTGTGTGCGCCACCTGAAGGCCAATTTCCAGAAGAAATATCCTGACAAGGCATTGCATGACTTAATGTGGCTGGCTGCAACTGAGCACCAGCAGTGCAAATTCACGAGGCGCATGGAAGCGATCCAGCAGTTAGAACCACGAGCCTATACTTGGTTGATGGGGAATGAGCTTCACATGTGGACATTGCATGCTGATGTCGGAAGACGATGAGAGACCAATCAAGCTGCATCCGTCCAAGCTCAAAAATCGTATAGAAGCCCGTAGCCTGTAGGCACGCGACTACGCGGGAATGGAAAGGATGCTCCCCGATGAACTCCCATAAATCGTCAGGTCTCCTGGGGCGGAGAGGCTGCATCGATAGCTGTCCCTCCCATACAAATGAGGACCTATGGTCGTCCTGCAACACTAGTAGCTGATCCTCGACAGGTCCGGGATGCGCAGGCGGAGGAAAGTCCATGTCGTCTACTATAATTTAAACAAAATTAATTGTGTGTGTTAGCTTAATAAATTAAATAATTAATTATGTTTAAAATTGGACTGAATAATTATGTACGGGTTCCAGGCTCGATATTTGAGGCCCGGTAGCACCGAGTTATCCTTAATTATTATGCGTGTTAATTTCAACATTTTTAGAATTGTGTGTGTTAGCTTAATAAATTAAATAATTAATTATGTTTAAAATTGGACTGAATAATTATGTATGGGTTCCAGGCTCGATATTTGAGGCCCGGTAGCACCGAGTTATCCTTAATTATTATGCGTGTTAATTTCAACATTTTTAGAATTGTGTGTGTTAGCTTAATAAATTAAATAATTAATTATGTTTAAAATTGGACTGAATAATTATGTATGGGTTCCAGGCTCGATATTTGAGGCCCGGTAGCACCGAGTTATCCTTAATTATTATGCGTGTTAATTTCAACATTTTTAGAATTGTGTGTGTTAGCTTAATAAATTAAATAATTAATTATGTTTAAAATTGGACTGAATAATTATGTATGGGTTCCAGGCTCGATATTTGAGGCCCGGTAGCACCGAGTTATCCTTAATTATTATTCGTGTCAATTTTAATATTTTTAGAATTGTGTGTGCTAGCTTAATAAATTAAATAATTAATTATGTTTACAATTGTACTGAATAATTATGTATGGGTTCCAGACTCATTTTTTGAGGTCCGGTAGCACCGAGTTATCCTTAATTATTATTCGTGTCAATTTTAATATTTTTAGAATTGTGTGTGCTAGCTTAATAAATTAAATAATTAATTATGTTTACAATTGTACTGAATAATTATGTATGGGTTCCAGACTCATTTTTTGAGGTCCGGTAGCACCGAGTTATCCTTAATTATTATTCGTGTCAATTTTAATATTTTTAGAATTGTGTGTGCTAGCTTAATAAATTAAATAATTAATTATGTTTACAATTGTACTGAATAATTATGTATGGGTTCCAGACTCATTTTTTGAGGTCCGGTAGCACCGAGTTATCCTTAATTATTATTCGTGTCAATTTTAATATTTTTAGAATTGTGTGTGCTAGCTTAATAAATTAAATAATTAATTATGTTTACAATTGGACTGAATAATTATGTATGAGTTCCAGACTCGATTTTTGAGGCCCGGTAGCACCGAGTTATCCTTAATTATTATGCATGTCAATTTTAACAATTTTAGAATTGTGTGTGCTAGCTTAATAAATTAAATAATTAATTATGTTTACAATTGGACTGAATAATTATGTATGGGTTCCAGGCTCGATATTTGAGTCAATTTTACAACATATAGGAATTTGTTACTTTTGTAAGTTTATTGTTATAATTAAATAATTAATTTTGTAAAGTGTAATTGGATAGAGTTTGCAGTTACTACATACTTAAACTACATAGACTCTACGCTAAAAGGCTCTACATTTTACTACGCTAAAAGGCTCTATATTTTACAACACTAACAGACTCTATATTTTACTACACTAAAAGGCTCTATATTTTACTACGCTAAAAGGCTATTTATTTTACTACGCTAAAAGGTCACTATTACATATAAAAACAACTAACATAAAATACAAATATGAACAACAAACAAAATAAATAATATTAATTTTTTAACAATGCAAATAATTTATCAAATTTAACAATTTTTTGTACCAAAGCTAATAAATCAATCCGGATATAAATAAGATACAAATTTAAACACAAACATAACACAAATTAACATGGAAACACATTAAACAATACAAATATGCATGTACTATATGAGTTTCGATATAAACAAAATTGAAATACCTCAATTTAAGTTTTTTAAATTTGATTGAAATCGAATTTTTACACCCGAAGAAGGAATCCAAAGCTTGTCTTGTATGTGTGACCTACACTCCTTGCTCTTTAGGTGACGGGTGGGGCCCAAATTTTTTTTTTTGAAGTTTGACGCCGGGGGGGACCAGCAGAATCGAAGGTGTTGGTTTTCTTCGGTTAAGTGGTCCAAGGAAGAAGAAGGGGCTATATTTTATTGAAGCTGTTCGCAGTATTATACTGCGCTGGGCCACGCAGTATAATACTGCGAACAGCTTTAATAAAATATAGCTGGGCCCATCATCTTAGTAAAATGCAGTATAGAACTGCGAATTACAAAAAAAAATAATTTTTTAAGTAAAACGCAGTACTATACTGCGAATTACTTAAAGTAGTACAAAAGTGTTTTTTGTCCAAAAAATGATTAAAAAGGTTTCAGACTCTTATTTTCATGTACACATAAATGAACCTTGTTCGGTTCTTTTTAATGTTACACAATGAAATAACTTCCTCATTTGTTCTACCATTCATTCTTACCAGATAAATTAATTAGTTTCTTGCTTTCAGATCTTCCCCACTTTCCCCCTAAACACAGAAAAAAGGAAATTGCAGAAATGGCTAGGAGATGGTATGCTCATTCAGCCATGAAATAATGTCACCAAAAACTCGAAGTATCATTTCATCCGGTTCACCCTCAAGCAAGGCATGATAAGCATCCTCATAAAGGATCAGTTTCTTGTCCGAACTACTTGCCCTCTCATACAGTGCTTTGCTAACCGATGGATCTGTCACCATATCATTCTTTCCGTGCAAGATTAACAATGGCAGAGAGACCTGTAAAATAACGTTACCATCACTATGCAGCTTACATTTGATGTAACAAAGATTATATCACAGGCAAATTTGCAAGATAGCTGGAGTTCAATCACGCTTAATACCAAGACCCTGGCAGAAGTCACAGTATAATTGAGGCTTATATAACATAGAAGTTTCAGTTTTGAGTAGTAAAGACACTGGATTACTGTAGAAACATATATATCATGCAGGTATAGAATAACAGAGACATCAACTCCCTCCAATTCACCTTGATACAGGCACTAACGATTACCATTAGCAAAGAAAGTTTACGATCAACTGTGTAACCAAGAAACTCGACGACGCCTCAGTCTTAAATTAGTAAGAGTCTGCCATATGAATCCTCTCCATCTTTGCTACTCTATTTAGGTCAATTTCATTCCATTACAAACTAATTCACAATTAAGAAAAAGAAAACAAAACTGAAGGTTCTCTAAATCTTCCACTTATTCTTACATAGATAACACATGTAATCTAACTAGTTGGTATCCTCTATATTGTTTTATTCTAAGTTAAACCCTTTGACTTTTACAGTTTTAGGTTTTTTTAAGAGAACTTCCCTCCAAGTGATTTTAAGTCTACCCTTCCTTTTTATCAACTTTTATATTATAAGGTGCATTTGGAAAGAGTATCTGGAAAGATCCAATTTCTGTGAAGTTCTTGCTTCCTACATTAATCAGTCCTCGAAGTGATGGAGGGAAGATTTTTGTGGATCCAGGGTCAACCTCATCTTTGTAAAGAGATTCAAGTAATTTCAGAATACTAACCTGCTTGAATACAAAATTTGAGATAACTAATATCTAGTGTTCTGGTGCTACACTTCCAACAATGCAGGAAAAACTAATTAACTAAGGAAAGCATCACAAAGATAAAGAGCACAATAAGGAGTTAAAATGAGGTACGTGACACTCTTTTTTGAAAGAATTAGCATAAATTAATGTTCCAGTCGTACACTCTTGCTCTTATCGCCCATTCCTTCTTATTCAAAGTACTGTTCTTTTGCAGAAAGGATAGTTCGCAACTTAATCACAGTTATGGATAGTTCCACGCTATTTGTCAAGATAAACGAGTACAAGTGTTTCCAAAACAAAAAACAGTACAATACGATACACCAGCTAGAATGAACTATAAAGTTAAAAAAAAAAACAGTTTATAATATCAAGAAACACTTAGGACCTCATTAAATACAAAAACAGGACAATAAAATTCGAGGGCAACCGCCATACTGAAAAAGGAAAAGCTTCACAAATCAACCTTTAAACAGTTAATGCGGTGATGAGTTTTTACACTACATAAAATAAAAGCTGGAAGACGTTACACACCTTTTCCAGTAGTCTCTCTATCTCTTGGGTGGCATTCAGTAACTCCAGGGCGGTCCGTATACGGGGTTTATGTTTGTAAGAGATGATATTATAGGCAGTCTGCATACAGAAGAAACAGGTCACATCTTATATGATAAATTGGGTGCGGTACATAGATGGTCAAGCAGGTGAGTGTGTGTGCCTGCATGTCATTATGAACTCCTAAAACCTATCATGTCAAGTAGGGGTGTGTGTGTGTGTGTGTGTGTGTGTGTGTGATATTTCTGGCACAAGCACTATTAGCCTCTAATATCCTGCAACCATCACTTTCCTGAACTCCTAAAACCTATCATCTTTTGAAGCTGATTTGCTACAGAAAACAAAGAAATATGTACCAGTTCTTTCTTCTTTGCATCTCTGACTGCCAATTCTCCCAAGTCCTGCGTCGGAACTAGCTTCTGTGTTGGGAGGAACTTTGCGACGCCAATTAAAATTTGTGTTACTAACCATGGTGGAACCATGTTATCTGCAATCTATATGACAAACCTGTTATTTCTCTATGCGAATCAGATATCAGAAGCATCACTAAGAATTTAGACGCATTTCCAGAAATATACTTTGCACATAGGTGCCACAAGAACAGCACCATTCCAAGCAGTAGGGTGGTTCTGGTGCACTTTCAAAGCTATAGCTCCACCCATGGATTCCCCAAATAGGAAGCTTGGTAGATCATGTAACTCCAGCTTTTCTGCAACCAACGATTAACTTGTCATTCTCCAGTAGAGTGAAATAAAGATGTTACAAGGAAATGAAACTTAAGCTCGCATTGGTCAATCCTTCACATGTAAGATCTTTTAAATTTCAATTTCTACATATTATTTGTTTCTTGAATCTCTCAAATGAACTCCAGTAAATGATGATGATGAAGTTGGTTATCCAATTGAGTCATACCTTTAACTTTCGAATAATGCTCAATAACATCATCGACCAGCTTGTCAAAACTTGGGATATAGCCATGAAGACCTTCTGAAAGACCAAATCCAGGGTAATCCATCGCGACTACTCCATAACCAAAAGATGCTAATTTCCTTGCTATGCCTAACAGATAAGGAGAGTGGTTACAATTTTTGTTTTTTTAACAGAAAAAGATAACTTGTCTGAGACTTCAAATGCTTTTAGAAGCCACAAACCTTCAACTAAAAATGTGCATGTATCCCCATAACCATGACAAAAGTAGACAACAGCTTTGGGACGTGTCTCCGGAAGCCAACTTTTGGAGAAGATTTCCAGCCCTCCAGAATTAACATCATAAGACTGTCCAGAAGAATGTCGAAAATTCATACAATTTAAATCACATCAATATTATAGCTATAACATCGAAATTCCAATAACTTATGCTAGATATGAATATATTACGCTAAAAAAAAGAGACTTCTCGTTTTGCCTTAGTACAAGCAAGGGCAAAAATGCTAATACCCAAAGCATCCTTCAGAGACCAAGTCATCTTTCACAAACTATCCCCTTTTTCACTTGCAAGAAATTTAATGAATATGATTTATAAGAACGTTTACATTATCGATAATATGTAATAAAATTTGGAGCTTATAATCTTATGAACCAAGCATATCACCTCCCAAATGAGTATTTGAAATTGTCTTATAATCTAAATTTAAGGTTGACAGTTAAAAGTGGATGTGAAATGGAAACTAAATCCCAATTTAATTCTTCTTATGCTATCCAATCATTCCTATGCTAAATCTCAATTCCCAAATAAGAAGTGAAGCAATAATCATTTATTAAAACTGCAGAACCGATACAAAATCTCACATTAGCTCCATCTCTTATTTATTTATTTATTTATTTTTACGAGCTATAAACGTCATCTCTCATTTGAAAAGGAAAAGTAGAAAGAAGGTCATATCCATAACTTTCTGTACTACAAAGTAAACAACAAGCTAATGATACACAAATTGACTGTTTTAGCAAGGCAAGTTAGGCTGCAAAGCATCAAACCTTTCCAACAACATTAGAAAAAGGAAATAAGAGCATAAGCTTTACCTCCTCCATCTTCAATCCAGCATGTGGCACCTGGTGCAAAGGTAGAAGAAGCAATCATTAAAAGAACATGAAAGATGAGTAAGAAACGCGTTACTTTCACATAGAACCACACCCATTTGGGCACTTTTCTCCATTACAGTAGACGACAAAGGTAAATAAGTACACCCGTCTCAACTGTCAATGTTTCCAAAATATATGTATACAAATCTCAATTGTCAATGTTTCCAAAAGTAACAATCTTAATGAAGATGACATAACAAGCTTACAGTGGAAAGTACATTTGCAAAGATGACGTACATAAAGCTGTTTTAACCAGATAAATGCTTCCTTTACAAGATTATACAATTGACAAATGTCCTTTCATCCTTTTAGTAATCAAATGAGGATTGACTTGATTAATAGCTATCCGTCTGACGTAAGTTGGAAAAAGCCAATTTTGTTAACAGTATTTTAAGTTTCCGAAAGCCATAAATTATTTTTGGCCTTGATTTAGGAAAAATGTGCCGTTAATGTATCACTAATTGAGAGAAAAGGGAATGCTCAATCTTGATATGCCCTTGAACTGCTAACAGTGGTCCAAAAATTCACACTTGATAGAAAACCTCTTGAATCTCTTCGTCGAGATTCAAGATGATCTACTAGCAATAATTCCCGGCAGAATAAGCAAATCCAAAGCAATGGATACTGTTACTAGCACCCCAACTGCACTGTCCTTAAATCCGCCAGCAGATTATATAAGGCGGTATGTTCAGTATGGCTGAAAACATTTTCCTCTTTCCTTAGTGTTTAGTTATCTCGAATTCTGGAGAATATTTTCGTGCAATAGTTCCATCAAAAGAGCGAAAATGACTTCACTCACTTGTTAATTTTCCTTTAAAAAGATCCTAAATCCTAATCAATGTCACTTACTTCTATTAACTGTTTTTTCTGTCAACTTTTAGTACTCAAGATCTTGGCCAAAACACTATTCTCATACCTTATCCTACATCTTGCAAAGTTACCATATATCACCAAATTTTATATCCAATCAAACGCTGGAAAATGATTCAAAAAAATTATATTTCTGGGTACAACATTGAAGAATTAACCTAAACAGCCGCCCACCTAATCTCTTAAACTAAAAATAGCCGGTAGATGTATAACATATGTATAATTCATGTATAATATGTTTATAATCAATGTATAATTTATGTATACCAGCTTAAAAAAGTAAACAGTGAATTTGGCCGGCAAACGTCCATACCAAATGCACCCTAAAGGTAGAACATTAACTAACGTTTGCAGTCTATTTAGCAAGATCCATTTAATTTATTTAGTCCCACGCAAATACTTCAGTCCTTTTGCAGTTTGCACAATTGACAAAAACCATCAAAGATAATATGACAATCCAAGATGGTTGAAATACCTTGAACAAGATATGATCAATTGAAAGCTGAATATCTTTAAATGCCTCCCTAGCACGACGTCTGGCATCCACGTTGTCCATATCTGCATCCAATATCTTCTGCAATTCCTCACTTATGCCTGGAAATTTCTTCTGATTTCCCATTGCAGAGCTCTCTCACGTCAAAGAAACTCTAGGCAGAATTAAATTGAAAAAAAAAAGGTGAACGAAAATTAAGGCGCATAGAATCTATTGAGTGCCTTTTATGATATTGCTATATGGTACTAGTCATTAGTCAATTCAATATAACGTATCATATTAATACATTTCTAGAAGGTGGAAAATTTAGAAGAAAAAGAGAAGTATGGGGATATGCAACATTGACGACAAAATTTCAGTGGTGGGGGATAAGATGTTATTTTTTTTCTGGTTTATTTTTATGCCCATTTTAATTAGTTAAACAAATTGAGAAAATTGAAAGTGAGTGGTCTCACCTTAGGTTGATTATGTCCCTTTGAATAAAGGATCATAGTATTAAAGTAATGGTTTGGCATAATCTCAAGAATGAAGTATGCGCGTCACGACTCTCATGTGTTTGACCAATTTCGGAGGTTGGCGAAGGAATAGGAAGTCAAGTACAAACATGTATTGGTCTAAAATAGGAAAACACACCTTCTTTAACCAAATCGCCCAAAATTTTAGACTATCAAGAATAGTACCGAGTAATTTGTATTTATAATATTGAAATTAGTTATCAATTGATTGGTTTGTGTCACGACCCTAAACCCGGACCCGATCGTGATGGCGTCTCTCGTGAAAACAAGGCCAACCGACTCTTTCCCATTTCAGTTTTGAACAATTAACAATAAGAATTAAGCCATTAAACATAATAAAACCCCAAAAATCCGGTGAATAATACAATTTGTGGAATACAAAACCAACACAGCCCGATACCGGGGTGTCACTAGTCATGACCAACTACCAATTCCGGATAATACAAGAAAGGTCTACAAACTACTATAGAGTCACTAATCAAGGAAAAGAAATGAGACAAAGGGGGGAGAAACACGGGACCGCGGACGCCAAGCAGCTACCTCGTGGACTCCGAAGTCTGCCGGGAGCTCTCAACTCGCGCTGGCAGGATCAGCAACGCCGGAATCTGCACACGGGGTGCAGGGAGTAAAGTGAGTACTCCAACTCAGTGAGTAATAATCATAAATAAACGACTGAGAGATATGAATACACGTAAGACACATTACAAGCTATAATGAAGCAATAAAACAGATAAGAACAGTGATTCAGTAAAGATATGTAAAATCATATAAGTTCAGTTTAAACTTCAAGAAATGCCTATTCAACAATTAAATAGGTAAATGACAGACAAATAAGACAGATAAGCACATAAAGGATTGCCCCTCGGGCATAATGTAAACAATACCAGCCCCTCGGGCTATATCTCACATCACATTAGGTACCCGCGCTCACTGGGGGTGTGCAGACTCCTGGAGGGGCCCCTTACGGCCCAAGCGCAATATCAAGCCATCTCGTGGCATCATCACTAGGCTCTCGGCCTCATATCAACAAGCCACCTCGTGGCGTACATATCTCAAGCCCTCGGCCTCATAATCATAATCAATGTTTCCTCATAATATAGGCCCTTGGCCTTACTTAGTCAGAATTTTACAGCCACTCGGGCAACAGTAAAACATAGTGCTCAACCTAAGATATCATTTAAAATACCATTTAAGTGTTAAGGAAGAGTAAACATGGTTGAGTTATGAAAAACAATAGAATATAGCATGACTGAGTTCAAGTATAAAGTCAAAACAATGAGAAAATATCAATAAAAATCTCCTAAGGTTCAAATAGTTGGCACTAGGCCCAAATGCGGCATTTAGCCCAAAACATGATGATAACAATTAGTTTTCAGTCAAATACGCGGTAAAATAGTCATTTGGGACGGACTAAGTCACAATCTCCAACAGTGCACAACCCCACGCTCGTCATCTAGCATGTGCGTCACCTCAATATAGCACAACGATGTGCAAATTCGGGGTTTCATACCCTCAGAACATAATTTACAATCATTACTCACCTCAATCCGGTCAAAACTCTAGCCCGCGACGCCTTTCCCCTCGAATTGGCCTCCAATCGCGTCGAATCTATCCAAAATCAGAATCATGGTGTCAAAATATGCTAAGGGAACAAAGCCCAAGCGAAAATAATTAATTTATGACTTAAATCCCGAAATTATCAAAACCATACCCTAGGGCCCACATCTCGGAATTGGATAAAATTCACATAAATGGATTCCTTATCTCCCCACGAGTTCGTACATATCAAAAGTACCAAAATCCGACCACAAATGCTCCCTCAAATCCTCAAGTCCAGGTCTCCAATACCAAGCCCTAGGTTCCCCAATTTTAACCCTTAAATTCCATTAATTATAGCTCTAATCTGTGAAATAATACCATAGGGACGAGTTTTAAGTCCAAAATCCTTACCTCAATGAAGTCCCCTTGAAATCCTTCTTCAAAATCGTCCAAAAAGCTCCAAAGCCGACTTAGCAATGGTGGAATAGCTCAAAAATCGCGAAGGAAACAATATATATGTTCTGGCCCAAGGATTTCGCATCTGCGGCCCAATTCCCGCTTCTGCGGTACCGCATTTGCGGTCAACAAACCGCTTCTGCGGTTTTCACTTAAGTCCCAACATTCCGCATCTGCGATCAACTATCCGCACCTGTGCCATCGCAAGTGCGGTTCTCCAACCACTTGTGCGGTTTCTACCTCCCTAGCTCCTTTCCGCTTCAGCATCCGCCTTCATCTCATATGCGGCATCGCACCTGCGTTCCCCAATCCGCAGGTGCGGAAATACCAGAAGCAGAAAAATCTGTAGCTTCATCAAAATTCCAAACTCGCCGTCAACCATCCGAAATCACCCCGAGGCCCCCGGGACCTCAACCAAAAGCACCAACATATCCCAAAACCTTATTCAAACTTATATCAATCTTCAAAACACCTCAAACAACATCGAATCAATCAAAACTCATTGGATTCAAGCCTAAGTTTCCAAAATCTTCTAAATTACGCTTTTGATCAAAAACCCAACCAAACCACGTCCGAATGACCTGAAATTTTGCACACACATTTCAAATGACACAATGGAACTACTGCAACTCTCGGAATTCCATTCCGACCCCTATATCCAAATCTCACCTATCAACCGGAAATTGCCAAAAATCCAATTTCGTCAATTCAAGCCTAAATCTACTTCGGACCTCCAAAACTCATTCCGATCACGGTCCTAAGTCCCAAATCACCTCGCGAAGCTATCTGAATCATCAGAACGCACATCCGAGCCCTCTAACACATAAGTCAACATCCTATTGACTTTTCCAACTTAAGCTTCCTCAAAAGAGACTAAGTGTCTCAAACCTTACCGAATCCTTTCCGAACATGCACGCAAGTCCAAAAATATCATATGGACTTGCTCGTGCGATCAAATCATCAAAATATCATCAACAACTGGAATTAAACCTCAAATTCATGAAATCACTCAAGAACATCAAAATTACTATTTTCTCAACTATAGGTCCGTTTTATACCAAACCAATTCTGATCTTTACCAAATTTTACAGATTTAACTTAATTATTATATAAGACCTGTACCGATATCCAGAACAAAAATACGGGCCCGATACCATTAATTTCAAACATCTTTACCTTTCCAAAAACCCTTATAATTTTTGTTAAACAATTTCTTTCAAAAATTCATTTCTCGGGCTTGAGACCTCAGAATTCAATTTCAGGTATATGCCCAAGTCCTATATTTTACTACGGACCCTACGAGACCGTCAGATCACGGGTCTGAGTCCGTTTACCAAGAATGTTGACCAAAGTCAACTTTAATCAATTTTAAAAGCCAAATTCCTTGTTTTACTTAGATTTCACATAAAAGCTTTCCAGAAACGCGCCCGGATTGCACACGCCAATCGAGGTAAGACAAAAAGAGGTTTTTAAGTCCTCAGAACATAGAATTAACTTTCAAAACGAGTGATGACCCAAAAGGTCATCACATTCTCCACCTCTAAAACAACCGTTCGTCCTTGAACGGACATAAGATAAGTACTTGAGTCGGAGAAAAGATAGGGATATCGGCTCCGCATATCGGACTCGGACTCCCAGGTCGTTGCCTCAACACTTCGTTCTCAACTGACGAACCTTCCAGTCTAGAATAGCTACCGGCTCCTCCTCATAGGACAAGTCCTTGTCCAGCTGGACAATACTGAAGTCTAACATGTGGGATGGATCGCCGTGATACTTTCGAAGCATGGACACGTGAAACACTGGATGCACGACTGATAAACTCAGTGGCAATGTAAGTCTGTAAGCCACCTCTCCCACTCGATCAAGAATCTCAAACGAGCCAATGAATCTAGGGCTAAGCTTGCCCTTCTTCCTAAATCTCGTCACTCCCTTCATAGGTGACACCCGAAGCAACACCTGCTCGCCAACCATGACTGCCACATCACGAACCTTACGGTCGCCATAACTCTTTTGCCTGGACTGAGCTGTACAAGCCCATCTTGAATGATCTTAACCTTGTACAAGGCATTCTGTACTAGATCTATATCCAACAACCGAGCCTCTCCCGGCTCAAACCACCCAACTGGCGACCGACACCGCCTACCATATAAAGCCTTATAAGGAGCCATCTGGATACTCGACTGGTAATTGTTGTTGTAGGCAAACTCCGCTAAAGGCAAAAACTGATCCCATGAGCCTCCGAAGTCAATAACACAACCTTAGAGCATATCCTCTAAAATCTGAATAGTACGCTTGGACTGCCCGTCCGTCTGAGGATGAAATGTTGTACTCAACTCGACCCATGTGCCCAACTCACGCTAAACTGCCCTCCATAAATGTGAGGTAAACTGCATACCTCGGTCCGAAATGATAGACACGGGCACACCATGAAGACGAACAATCTCTCGGATATATATCTCGGCTAACCTCTTAGAAGAATAAGAAACTGCCACCAGAATGAAATGTACTGACTTGGTCAGCCTATCAACAATAACCCACACTGCATCGAACTTCCTCTATGTCCGTGGGAGTCCAACAACGAAGTCTATAGTGATACGCTCCCACTTCCACTCAAGAATCTCAATCTTCTAGAACAAACTACCAGGTCTTTGATGCTCGTACTTTACCTACTGACAATTCAAACACCGAGCCTCATATGCAACAATATCTTTCTTCATCCTCCTCCACCAATAATGCTACCACAAATCCTGATACATCTTGGTGGCGCCCGGATGAATAGACTACCGAGAACTATGGGCCTCATCTAAAATCAACTCTCGAAGTCCATCCATATTAGGCACACAAATA